TTTATTTATTTATTTATTTATTTATTTATTTATTTATTTATTTATTTATTTATTTATTTATTTATTTCTTAATTTATGTATTTATTTATCTATATATTTATTTATTTCTATTGCTTTATGTCACTTTAGGTGGCAAAGTACTGATATAAACTTTTCCCATAGGCCTCACGAAGTAATTGAATCTCATACAAGCAGGGTCGTGGACTGTAATGACAAATACAGTGCTTGCTTTTACGACAATTTCACTGTTAAAATGCGAAATGCTAAAGGCGTAGCTTGCTTTGAGATTTGCATCGGCCCTGTGACGGAGTGACAAATACAGCAGTCTGTCTTACCGATAGCATGTCAAAATTGTGCGATACATTACCACAACCCAAAGTTGCTGCTGAGTTTATGGCAAGGGAGAAAGTGCCGTCATCAAATAACTCCAAGTGACATAGGCTGACTAAAGTATAATTCAAGTATTGCGACAGTATGGAAAAAGATTCCTGTTGAAATTAAGTGAAATTCAATTTCACTTTGTAAAGCCTAGGCATCCCATTGTGACAAAATGCCATATCCGTCCTTTATCGTCTTAAGCAAACTAAAGTTGTCAACGCTCCTACTCTATATTTCAATGCATAGACAAACAAACCGCCATATAGATAGCTAGACAGATAGATAAATAGGCCAATCTTTGCAATCAATAGATAAATATATATATTAAAGAGTGATTTGCTTATTCTGGTAAGGGATTTATACGGAATCTTTCCACAATCAAATAAGTAGGATTCATGGCGAGACATAAAGTTGCCTAAAAAGAGTCTATCTATCTATCAGTCTGCCCGGCTGTTTGTCAGAATATAGATACATTAGGCAAATCTATAATAATTCATCATATATAAATTTATAATATTATACCTTAGTAGCTTTACTGTTTATATTTATTTATTTATATTTACGGACAGTCTGACAGGCAAACAGATGGATAGGTAGATCATTGGCTATAACAACCTTACAAATATTTTAGTTTTTTCACTCCAATATATTCAAATTCATTTATATATACTATATATTATATATATATATATATAAAAGGAAGTTTTGGACTTTATTCCTCATCTTATCGACTCCCTTATTTGTTTTTATTTTTATTTATTTATCTGCCAGAATCAACAGACGAACAAAGTCGAAGTTAATGAGCCTCCGTTGGTGCAGACCAATGGTTCACTCAGCCGTTCTGGACGAAGAAGATCTCCTCGAAGTCAGCCAGTCTACTCGGAGACCTTCGGCATGCAGCAGGGCCTCTTGGCTGTGGGCAATCTGGCGGCGGCTTTTGTCCTGACCAGTTCGGCCCAACGTCAAGAACTGGATTTGCAGCAGCACAAACGGCCGAGGCAACAGGGACTCGAACAGCGGCGCACTCCGTGCTCGTCGGTCTCTGTCGTGACTGGCGGTGGTGACGATTGGAGGACTCAGAAGGCTGCCTGGCAGAAGGTGGGAGGGTACGATCCGGCGCCAGAAGTGTCGAGACTGGCGACGCTTGACGCCGTTCCTGGAGCCGAATCGTCAGCCAATCGAGTTGCTGCCTCGTGCCCTCAAGTCTCCGACTCACCGTCCGAGGCAGCTCGGGCCGTGCTGTACCATAACAGCGCCAGAGCCTGCTTAAATCCCTCCAGACTCGAGTGCGGTGATGAGTTGGCAGAGAAAATGACATCGAAAAGGAAGAAAGACAATACATTCGACGAGGAGAACGACGGTTCCGGCAGGTCACAGACGCACTGGATCTCCGAATCAGACATCTCCGGCTGGAGTATGCCTCCGCCTGAAGACCCGAAGAAGGTTAGGGGGACCTTCTTCGGTCGCCATAAACGCGACAGTGCAGACATCGTAAGTTTCAGTGTTAGTGGTTGCGTTCGCTTTCAATTCGAGCGAAGGTTTGAGATGAAGTCATTCAAACAAAAAGCCAATCTGAACATGACGCTCTGTTCCAAATGTCTTTGCCGCAACTTTAAGTCTTTCAGAAGTGGGTTGATCTCGTTTTCACAACCGAGGGTCACGCAATCTTGACCTTCATCGCTTCCGTTTTTCGTTTGCAATTTGGATTTCGAGACTTCTCGTAGATCATAATTATGAAATGTATTCACCTTATTTCGTTTAAAGTGATAAAGGGACACTTGTAATTGAATTGTCCCACATTTATATGCGTTGACCCTATGCTCCATTGCATTTCATCCAGCCTTGCCTCCCAAAAGGTGTCCTCGTCCAAGCTGGAATAAAATGCGATTTCGACTTTGGCCGAGCTGATATCATCAGCGCTCCCATCGGGACTTTATCCATGACAGTGAGGCGTATAATGCCGACATGTTAATCACTCAGTCAGACTGCCATAAATACAATTGGATCACAGGCATTTCGCCATATCACATTCTGTGGTGTGATTGTCGAAGAAGGGAAGTATGATTCGCTGTAACAATCGACTGCACTACTTATATTTCGTTTGTAAGTAGAGTGTTGAAATTAACAACAAATCAGCTCCTTCGGTTGGGAGGAATAATTGGGCTGGTTTTTCTGCATTCGTGACATTTTGCCAGATGACATGAGAACCTGATCGTCAGTTGGGGACAGATCATGCTACCTTCTTTGCTCATTAGCTTGAAGAAGTGGTCCGATCTGAAGGTGCCTGCCAAGTGTCGTGCTAGAAAGAGGCTCAGCACAGTATCCTTGAAATCGAAGAAGAGCTTCACATGGACTGTCACACGGAAGCTTCCAATAACGCCAAACTACTACTGGCCAAGGTGAGTACGTCGTTGGGCGGTGATGAGATTAACATTGTTGAATCCCTTTAGACCACATTTTCGATTAAAAAAACTGTAAAAATGATCCAGAGCATAACTTTTATTCGAATATGCGCTTGTTTCGTATCCACCAATTTCACAATAGACATGCGAAGAAAAGTTGAGTTTCGAGGAATCTCTTGTTTCACAAGTGTTTAGCCTACTTCCATTTCGACACTTTCTTCAGTTATGCCCACTTTTAGAGAGAAAGTTGACCCATTCTCCAGATCGGGTTGCTACAAAATAATGTGCTCATGTGGTCGCTGTTATGTTGGATGGACTTGTCATGCCATTCGACAAAGAGTGGCTGAGCACAGGCCAGAAACGGGACACGAGATTTAATAGTCTCAAACTGGTCGTTTTGCTTTTTATGGCATGTTTGCGGCTAAACGTAAAATTAGAGAATCCCTCGAAATAAACAGAATAGGAAATGCATTGAATGTGAGGAATACCGGCAAGAAAATGAGTAAAAATTACTTGTGCTCAATTGATAGACTGAAGGATAGAGAGGCAGTTTTGGTTCTAATCGTAGCCAATTGTCTGTACTTTTAGCTCACTCTTTCTCTCTTGCATTAAGACCAAAAACAAAAAATAGACTCATCAACAAAACCCGGCGCAATCGGAGTTATGGTTGTAGCAAATATGTAAAAAGGGAGAGATAATGGTCATCAAACTTTGATGGCCAAAAACACACGCTCCTTTTTGCTGTCCTAATCACTTTGAGTCATCACTTCGGGCTTCGTGCATAAGCGAACACAAACAGGCACATACACATACAGAGACAGACACACACACATGCCTCAAAGTTGACATATGACCTGAACTAACCAAATCACATCAAAGAGGTCAGATGTAGAGTATGTGTACCATTTTTTAGGGATTCGCCGGTGAGTTTTCTTGACTCGTTAACTTGAATTTGGTTGTGATGACGGTACCTCGCTCTGATGCTGTCTGTCATGTGACGGACGAAAGCCCAACACCTTTTCACCGGAATCGAAACAGCGTCAGCATGAATCTGCCAGTAAAGCCAATCGACAACTGGTCAAGAGGAAGCCGCCGTCGTCTTCTCGTGGAACCGACCTTAGAATCTCTTCACCCAACACCTTCACTCGAAAAGGAAGCAAGCTCAACAATAAAAATAGACACATACGAACAGTAACTGGGTTTCAACTTATCTCTTATAATAACATTTTCATTTCGTGTTAAAAAGACTGATGAAGAGATTGATAATTCAATCTCACCGGGACTCGATGCTTGATTTCTGATTGTTCTGCAGCCGAATACAGTCTTCAACTTACGACAGTCTCCTGGGTACATCCTTTCTTGTTTCTGATGAAAACGAATTCAGCTTTCGTTCGCCGCGCCACTTGACGAACATCGTCAGAAATTGAACCTATTTAATCAAAAGCTTCAACTTTACACCGAGTCAAAGAAACTACCAGAATCTATCTTATATGCTATAAATACTTATAATTAAAAACACAAATATACGAATATAAGAAATATAGAGACCAAAATGTTGTGGCCTCTGGTATGGTCGCAGCCTCCTTTCGATGTATAGACGTGAGTTGACTCGTCGTCGCAACTTGGTCTTGTTGTCAGGGCGACTTAGTAGAAAGCACCTAGTTGTCATGATTTCCAGCATCAGACAATGGACTTGGTACGTTCTCAACCGTTTCGCCGGCATCGTAGTCAGCATCTTCAGTGAGTGCTGCCGTTCTCAGCGCCAAGCTACGAACTCGTCAAAGAGACAAGTGAAGTCTTTGACGAGTTCGTAGCATGGCGCTTAGAATTGCAAAACGGACTGATGATGCCACTACGATGCCGGCGAAAGGTTTGAGAATGTATCAAGTTCACTGTCAGAAGCTGGGCATCATGACAACTGCTATGACAGACGACTTCGGATTAGGTGTGTTCTACTAAGTCGCCATGACAACAAGACCAAGTTGCGACAACAAGGTCACCCCACTTCTATACGGATACAGATAGACATAGAATTATTTGGTTGCTTCTCTTTCGCATAAATCAGGAGGCTTATGCTTGGCTGCATATGCGTGTGATCGCGTGTTTGTATAATTATGAGCCTGGACACGAGATATAATGTTCTCCAATGCATCGGTCTACTAATGACAGTACGTCTTTTACGGATTGCAGGATAGGGAAGGCTAGCGAAATGACATTAGTTGAGCTGGAAATCATTATTACAAACACTTTAAAGTATCACAAAGTCAATAATAAGAGTCAGATTTCCTCTCAACTCAAGGCTATAAACAAAAATCTAGATAAATAGACAGATTTAACACAATTTGGTTATCATACAGCGAATACTCATGACACTTACACTTGAGTGTGTATGTATGTGTGTTTTGATGCGGACATGGGCCCCAGTGGGTCTTTTGTGGAAACTGGGCTTCGAAGAATTCCTCACTAACCTCCTGCTGTGGTAAATTTCATTTCATTTGTGTAGGTGAGGAGATGGTGTGTGTTTGGTGTGACTGATCTATCCATGCTGAAAGAGTTCGGCCAATTTACGAATTCTGTAGACCCATCTCTTGAGCGATAAGAAAGGTACAACAGCAAAAGTGAGACCTACCTCACAGTTTAGAGGAAAGATCTAAACAATTGGTGAAATTTGTCAGTAGGATGATGCTGAAATTTCATATATCTGCGAAATATACCCAACTGGCATTCAGGCAAATCTCTGGCAAGAGTTATCGTCACATAAGCATGCACAAAATGATTTTATCGAAGTACCTAGACTGAAATAGTTCTTACGGTGCTAGTGAGTTTCACATAATCTTGCCTCGACCTCGAAAGTGGCCGTCAAACCTGGACG